TTCTTTTACGTGTCTTTATATAATAAAAAAAACACTTGTTAGCAACAATATCTGTTTATAGGTATAAAACCTCTTAAATCTACGATACGTACCTTACGAATTATATTATAATATACTTATTTACCTATTTTTAATAGCAATTATTGACTAACACCTCTTTTTTTTCCGCTTTCGCCGGTAATTAATAGTGGCCAAGAAGTAATACTCTTTTTCAGCTCAACCGCTGTCCTTCTTCAAAATTTTTTATTCGCCATGTTGTCACCCCACCACCAGCCAACACCTTACAAGTTACGTCCAGGAATCAACTTAAAAAAAAAACTCTTTTGGTTACCTGTAAATTAGTGATGCAGTAAGGTGTTGACAGATGGCGCGAGTGACAACAAATACTATTCTACGTACGTTTTTCGAGTCGAGTGGTATAAAAAATTCGATAGTCAGAAAGTTATCAAATGAACTGTAACCCTTGAGCTGACCTATCCTGCGTTAATAAACTGCGACCTAACTTTATGGTCTTGGGGTCTACTGCGTACTAAATAAAGTCATGTTTGGACTTGAAATAACCTAAGGATTCTCTTTCACATTTCACACAAAAATCTATTAATTAAAACCCATGATATAAAAGATAAATGTTTATAATTGTGTAGGTACACAAAGTGTTTTAAAAAAATACTTTGTCTTACTAAATATAAATAATGTGGGGGCGGATTATGAGAAAAACGCCTGGTTGTAAATTGAGCTTCTTGATCTTGGTCTTGCTTGGATCGCGGTGAGATTTGGAACGCCTTAGGATTCTTGTGCAGTCAGTTTTGGAATGTCGTTCCGCTCCCAACGCTCCGCTTTTTATATCATCGCTGGCCCGCCGCACTATGGGAACCCTCTTAAGAGAGCCATCTCATAAATGCTTTTTACAAAAGCATGCGGGGATGCATGTATTATACCTTAAATCGTAGCTGAATAGTTACTCTATTATTATAAATAAGATTCAAATCTCTAACCATTCGTATGGCGCAGTTGAAATCATTTGAAGATAAGGAATAAAACAAATACAAAAACAACTTTGTAACTTTTATTTCTTCGATATGATTTTCTAGTATGAAAACAATAGAAATCATAGAAGTTTTACCCCATTTTAGAAAGCTTGGAATGTGTACTTTACTTTGAGATATAAAAAATGTGTAATTTAGCACAACATTATTTAAAGAAAAATATATAAACATCATATGTAATATTTTCTTTTTCTAATCTTTGACTTTGAGATATGACAGTTGCCGAAGCTTGCCGAAGTTCTATTTTTTGTGTTATTTTGTAAGAAATATGATATACTTAGATGGCAAACAAAAATTTCTTGCGATTTCAGTGCGGAACATGTTTTAATTTTGTAAAATATGCAGTAAACTTTTTATTAATTTTAATTTCGTACATTAAGAGTTTCTATTTTTCGGAATTTTCTGCCCGTACCGTCAAAAAACGCATATGACACTATTGTTAGATTATATTTTATATTTTGCGGTATTTTTATCACATATTTCTCACAGAATTTGATTCCAATTGACAAACAGTACCATTAAAAACCGCATAACCGCATTATGATAAATTAGTTTTTATCAAGTAATTTTGCACTCGTCTTCTGTCATTATTTAGTATAAAACAGTGACTTTTTCATTAAACATTACAGTTCTTCATTAGTTTTTGTTATTAGCAAAAGTTTGTTACGCAGTAACTTTCCGCAATGAGTGAATTCTCGTGCACCAGACGCGACTTAAGTCTCGTGTTGATTGAAAATGATTCGAATTATGTTGTTTCTATTACACATTATATACGAAGCAATTTCACAGAATCTTCAGATGAAAACATAGCAAAAATTATAGCAAATATTCAAAAATCCTTCATAAACCAGTTTCGTCAACGCTTTTCTAAAGCGGGTTGAAAGAAAGATCTGTTTTTAAGTAAAAACAGCAATTGGTTGGATGGCATATTCACGGTGAAACTAGAAGAACCTACATGCCAACCTGAACCTTCTACATCAGAAGAAAAAAGAGGAAGACCTTCTAAAACGTACGAAGATAGTTCAGTGAGCACAAAAAAACGTAAAAACAAGGAATTGCTTGATTCATGTGGACTTGATTTCATATTGAACTCGTACATACAGGGCTTAAGGTCTCGTGGCGAAGTAGAAGAAGCCTTAATTGTTGAAGTTTTACGAACATTGCCGTCAGAAAAAAAAGTGAAATACGCAATAGTCTTCTTAATGAACCAGCACATATAACAGCGTATTCAAAAGACGAAGCACTCAGCATTTTTATAGAATTAAATCTGAACAAGGCACAGTATGACAATATGAGAAATTGTTTAATTACAAAAAATTGCTTATTGTTTCCTTCTTACAAGTCGATTCCTGAAGCTAAGCGAATGTGCTATCCACCAGAATCTAGCGTTGAAATTACTAACATAAAAGCACAAATAAAACTACAAGATCTTTTAGATCACACTTCAGCCAGACTTCTAAAAATTAATGATGTTTATAAAGTGGGTTCAACCCACTTAATGCTATATTCCAAATGGGGCTGTGATGGATCAAGTGGACAAAGCGAATACAAACTACCCCTGTCTGAAGAGAGTGATCTAATTTCAAACTCTACTTTATTTATATCATCTTTAGTGCCATTGCGACTTATTGATACCAATACTAATGAAGTATTGTGGAATAATCCTGTTCCTTCGTCAGTGAGATTTTGCCGATCAATTTTGATAGAATTTTCAAAAGAAACAGCTGAGAAAACGACACTGGTAGTCAGCGAAATTAATGCTCAAATTTTAGCCCTGAATCCTTCCCTAATTAATCACAATGGAGAAGGTATTGAAATAAAACACACGTTGTTTTTAACTATGATTGATGGGAAACAGGCCCAAGTTTTGTCAGAAACTTCCTCAAGTGCTGTGTGCACTATTTGCAGTGCAAGACCTACAGAAATGAATAATTTAGAAAGAGTGCGAAACAAACCTGTGGATGAAGCTTCTTATCAATATGGGCTTTCAACTTTGCATTGTTGGATTAGATTTATGGAACTTATTTTACATTTATCTTACAATCTAGGTTTTGAAAAATGGTCTGCCACAACAACAGAGAATAAAGATTTAAAAAAGCAAAAGAAAGCTTACGTACAAAGAAGGTTCAGAGAAGAACTTGGATTGAATATAGATAAACCTAAACAAGTAAGTGGCAACACTAATGACGGTAATACAGCCAGAAGATTTTTCCAAAACTACCATTGTTCATCAGAAATCACTGGAATAAATGAGGAATTAATAAAACGGTTTTATATTATACTTCAGGTCATGTCAAGTGGTAGAGGTATTGATGCCACGAAATTTGGACAGTATGCATTCGATACAGCACAGCTGTATGTTAATAAATATAAATGGTGTTACATGCCGTCATCAGTGCACAAAGTGTTGATTCATGGTGAGAGTGTCATACGTCATTTTTCTGTCTTGCCTCTTAGACAACTCTCTGAAGATGCTCAAGAGTCACGAAACAAAGACTACAAGCAGTTCAGACTTCATCATGTAAGAAAATGTTCGAGGGCAGCCACCAACGAAGACGTTATACACACACTTTTGTATACCTCTGATCCATACATTACAAGCTTGAGAAAACCTTACAACAATAAATATTTGGAACTTCTTGATGAAGCAAAAGAGCTCCTGAGTGACTATTAAGCTATGTTTTTATGTATTCTTGATATTTAAAGTAGGTACTTCATCTTATTAATCTATAAATTTATAAGAACATGCATGATTAAATCTAAGAAATTAATACTTTTTTATTCCTTAATTTTTTATAACTATAATAAATAAAATTTGACTTATAAAGTGTATATTATTTAAGAGAATATCTATTTAGGTATACCCAGAAAAAAAATCAGGTAGATATCATCAAAAACACGGAAGTTATAGATTTATGATATGAAAAGGAGTCAAGGTTCCCATAGTGCGCCGTGCCGCTCGCATTCTATTCAAGTGTGCGAGCGGGACGGCACCAATGCAGGAGCGGGACGGGAGAACCCTACAGACTCCAAGCAAAACCCCTCTCTCCCTCTCGTTTATTTACCAAATCTTAAACTAAATTAACAATAATAAATTACAATAATAAATCACAATAATAAATTACAATATTATAAATCATATGGGCGCGAACACGTTTTCGTCCTGAACAAATAATAAACCACGATTAAACATATTTATCCATGTTTTTGGATAAATACCGAGTAAAAATGGATATTTATCCTGAGTATTTATCCCAATGATATTTATCCATGATCCATCTCTGCTCTTGACTGTACTATCTGACACTTTTTAGAATTGTACTGTTAACAACGCCTCTCGCGTGCTGTTATATATTAGATTGGTTGTGCAGTGAGATATTTGGGAAGTCATCTTGTTAGCGACGTATAGTAAAACAGGAACAATTTTAGATAGTGTGTTTATTTGTTCATGGTGCAAATAGAAGTGATATAACATTTCGATTACAATATAAAGAATCTTACGCCACTCAACATTTCCTCCAATACGCAATCCAGCGACCTACTAAAGAAGTCACGTTGCTTCGATGTCGACGAGTCATTCATAAAAATTTGGTGGTGGGTGCTTTCTTTTGCTACGCGCAGATGAAGTCAAAGTCAAAGATTATTTATTTCATAGGTAAAATAAATTTACACTTGAAAACGTCACATTTAAGCTACTGCTCGTTCACTACGCTGACCTCCCTGAGAAGAGCGAGCAAGAAACTCTAGGGATTGCTCATTTCAAATAAACTTAAATGCTATGGAATACACTTTGAATCAAATTAGTGTGGATTCTGGAGCCATGTCGTCTTTCCATACACCTTTCTCTAACACGTAGTCTTCAATTTTGTAATATGATTTTTCGATCAAAATATTTTTAATGTAGTTTTTAAACTTAGGAAATGATAAACTTAATATATGCTCCGGAATCTTATTGTAAAAACGTATACAGTTAACCCTTAAAAGAGTTGTTTACCTTGGTTAAACGAAATCGTGGTACCATGAGTTTGGACTTAGCTCTAAGGTTAATATTATGGATATCTTCTTTCTTATTGAAATTATGTATATGTTTACGGGCATTTAAAATAGTTGAGTAAATGTACTGTGATGCCACAGTCATGATACCAGTCTCCTTAAACTTTTCTCTGAGAGAAACCCGAGAGCCTAGACGGTACACAGAACGAATCGCTCGTTTTTGCAATACAAATATGGTTTGAATGTCTGCCGCTTTACTCCACATGAGAATCCCGTAGGACATTATACTATGGAAGTAACAAAAGTAAACTAGTCTAGCAGTACTAACATCGGTAAGCTCACGTATTCTGCGGACTGCGTATGCAGCGGAGCTTAATCTGCTGGCCAGGGACGATACATGTGGAAACCATTGAAGTTTACTATCTAAGGTCACTCCCAAGAAGACTGAATGAAGGAATGGTGGATTATTAAAATTCATTGAACTAAAGTGGCTGTTTTTGATGTTAATAATATAGTCCTGTGAGGCTGTTAATATTTTACAAACAACCACAGGGTTGTAGGTTATACACCATGACCACATTGTCACTTAATCCTGTAAGATGGAGATCAAATGCACACTTATTTTAACCATAAAATAGTTATTTGTTACACAAGGCTGCGAAGTTGTAGTTTAATACGAGTGCTTGTATTAAATCCTTGGCGTAGCGAGGGTTTCAAGACACGAGACAAAAACAACTTTGCTGTCGAGCGAAACACAACTTTTCACCTCACTGTAGCGAGGAAAATGGTAGATGAAAGAAAAACAGTTGAACTATAACAAACAAAATTAGTTATCGTTGTCAATTTACTGTCAACAATAATAAGAATAAAACATGCCAACGGATTTATATTATATAAATAATGTACTACAAATCGCATAGTTGTACGTGTAATTATGTTTTATTTTTCATCGAACGAAAAAGTTTGGTGCACCACAGTGCATCGTTAAGTTCGAATTTCAAAAACCTTTTTTATAACATGGGAAATACGCTTTTGCGCGCAGATTTCTAATGATTCTTTCTCATCGGGCTCCGAGCTAGTAAGGTGAAAAAGATTATAATACTATAAAGTAATACTAAAAATAAAATACTAAAAAATTAATAAATAATATTATAAGACGGTGGACGCGGAGGTATACATGTTTTGTTGGGTCTAGGAAGTTTTTATTTGTGTTCGATCTTTGTATTAATAATTGTAACAAACTAATGAAGTTATTTCATAAAAATATATTTTATGAATATCGCGATGGTTAACAACGTAAAATTCAATAAAAATACATGATAGTAATAAATTTCAAATAATAAACAAAACTGCAACGTACTTTTCTTGACACATCTAGTTATTGCCGATCTGTGTAGACTACGCTTGCGCGAACGCACGTTCCTCTTGCCCAGTATATTATGTTGGTTGAGTCAAAACTACCCACCTCTTGAAAATGTCATATTTGTATTACATAGTTTTTATGCATTTAGCGCTTGTCGTACGCCGTACTATGTTAATAGCTTATGAAATATTACTATATGTAAGTTTCTCATTTAAGTGAATGTATAATTATTTTGAGAAAATAAGTTCTTAAACCACAAAACTTATTTCAGGCGACCCTATCTTACATTTGCATCTACCCTTCCCACTCGTCTTTCCGAGCTATCGTTCGGTACAAATGCTTCGTTCAGAGCATTACTGGACGCGCTAGCTGCTTCATGTGATTTGGTGCTATTCGATGTGGTCGTCACTCTGTCATCTGGCGATGAGACGAAAGGCTGGTGGGACGAAGGCATAGACAACTGCATGAGCGCTGTAGCAGCTAAGGATGGCAGCAGCTCTATACTTCGACAGTGTCGATGGAAGGAGATGTCTTTGACTGCGTGTCGGCGAGTGCTGGTGCCTTTACTGAGGTAAGCATAACAATTCTTTACTGCCTCTCTACTGGACAGATGTTTTTATCACACCAAGTGACGGAACGAACTTGTCGTGTGTCTGGTGGTAAACAACACGCCTGTTCATAGCAGTTGCAGTGCCAATCAGAGAATCAATCCATCGCAAAGATCTGAGAGACACAGCCACTGCGTCTGTCGCCCTGAGACGTTTTGAGACAATTTAAAATACAAGCAGTAGAACTCCTTGTGAAAGAGTTCATTCAGAAAATTATTATATAATTATGAATACAAAGATCGAACACTTAGAAAAAACACTCAGAAAAAATTCCTTCGATCCGGTCGGATTCGAACCGACGTCTTCTTGCATACCGTGCCAGACGCTATACCAACTAAGCCACGGAACGAACCAACGGACCTCACGAATTTTTCTATGTGCTTGCGTCGTGTCTTTGTACTTAGTCTTTCAACGACTTTTTAGTCGTAGCGCCATCTATGAGAAATCTATGACAGATTTATCACCCAGTTAGTACCTTTACAGCTACCAGTCCTGGCGAGAGATGTCGCTATTCACTGTATTAATTAAATTTTTATTGAATTGATATTCAATGGATGGATCGAAGGAATTTTTTCTGAGTGTTCGATCTTTGTATTAATAATTATAACAAACTAGTGGAGTAATTTCACAAAAAACAATTCAATATCAATTCAATAAAAATTTAATTAATTATTATATAGATAATTAATAATTAATATATAGAAAATATTATATAGATGGAGAATGATATTTGATATATAATTTAATGACAACAATATTATATAATGAATTGTTAATTTCCTAATTATTGTGTGCTTTTCTTATAATTTTCCTTTTTGTCTGACGATCTCAATATAATTTCTTATACTTTGACATGTAGTGCAATTTATACTGTAATGTTATATTTGAGAAATAAATTAATCTGAATCTATTGCCACCTTACCTATTTCTGCCGCCAAACAGTAATGTGACCATTATTATGTTCAGGTTTTGAAGGGTAAGAGTGATGGTGAAATTACAGGCGTATGGAACTTGTCAACTTATGTCTCAGGGCGCGTTCCCACTATGTCGTCACGTTTTATTATCGTTGGACGACTGTCGTATCTAGCCTGTTCCCATATCACGACTATCTGTCGTGGACGATTTTTTATCGTTGAACGACTGTCGTGACTAGCTGTTCCCACTAGATCGTGACGACAATTTATCGTTTCACGACAGCCTCCTTATCGTTTGCACGACAGAATCGTTTGATGCACTGCAGTCGCTTGTATGTTCTTTTGGAAGCCGGTAGTGTGTGTTCGCTCGAAATGGATAAGACGAAATTTTAAAAATGTATTACTTTTTAAAATTTAAAAAGAAAGGAATGTTTTGAGTACATCCAATGCTATTAAAAAAAAAATCCATTAGGGTGATGTCAAACGTTTATTAATGAACTTTCAAGCGAATCTAATCAAAAAAGGTAAATCGAACTGTCCTGATAATAAAGCAACAAATATTTTGTAATAATATGTATAATTAAATTTGAACAAAACTTAATTCACAACAAATATTTAGACCTAAACAGTTTTTGCCTTCGACTTCGGGTTTTAACCCGACATAAACCCGGCGTTAACAAAGCGCCGGGTTAAAACCCGGGCGCTTACCCATCAATCACTACGACCCAACGCTACTGCAAAGTTAGCAGAGGGGTACGAGAGGAGAGGGCAGTGAGCAGAATACGTGCGGACAGCGATAAATAAAACGTGACGGCAATAGGGGCTGTGACAATCTGTCGTCACGTTTTTATCGTGACGTTTTTTTATCGTCTGACGACTGTCGTTCTAGCTGTTCCCACTGTGACGACAGTTTGTCGTTGTAACGATAAAAAATCGTGAACGACAGTTAATCGTGTCGTACATATGAACAACTTCATTTAAATATACAAGAAACGACACTGTAAATTGCACGACAATCTGTCGTCACGACATAGTGGGAACGCGCCCTTAGGGTGACGGGCGCAATGGCAGTGCCTCTGAGATCTTTGCGGCTTAAAGCTCTGAGTGACACTGCAACTGTTATGGACAGGGTAGGCGTGTTACTTAACACAGCACGACTTATTCGTCCTATCACTTGATATTATAAAAGAAAAATCTCTAATGATTCTGTTTCATTCCAGATATTCAACTTCAACCACTGTTGAACAATATTTCTCGACAAATTTAAAAGAAATACTAGCTACAGTACAACTAGGAAGAGTGGTCAGCAACCGGACTAAGTTACTGGAATATACCACCGCGTTTATTCTCTTACAACTTGCTATTGAAAAGGTAAGTCGTTAATCTACGCATAAGTCGAAGTATGGACGCCATAGAAACGTAGCAGCGCGGCTTGTATGTGTGTAGAGACGGGCGTTTAAACGAAAAATACATGAAAGGTTTGCTTTTTAATATAAGTCCATAAGCATGCTCATCATGCCTGCCCTTGAAGACTATAAAATCGTAAGAAAAAAAAATCTTCATTGCAAAACACAGAAAATAGAGTGACCGTCAGGATGGCTGGTCGCCTGTCGCATCTGGCACTGAGTGTATATTCAAGAATTGCTACCTATTTGCTGCCTTTTCTAAATAATTGCTACCTTTGATATATTCTGAGAATAAAAAAATAAATGACCAGCAATTCTGATATCAGAATGGCTGGTCGCTACTTTGTTCAGCATGAAATGAGCAGATTTTCCAGAAGTATGTATTACCAATAATTGCTAGCTATTTGCTACTTTCGCGAATTAAAGGTATACGCTACGTATATATAAAAGTTTAAAAAATATAAACGATTGAAAAGTGCCAACGCCTACCCTTTGTATTATGCTAATAAAGCACAAAAAACTTGCTTTTTTAATTTAACCAGGCACTTTTTCGTAAAAATTTCAATCGGTTATATTTTTTATATAATAAATACAAAACAGATACAGAGATGTGCCTATCTCCCAAGCTAGGTATTACATCCGTCAAGTGTGTTGCCTAATAAAACAGCACAGAGTACTAAAAAAAAACGACCTCAAAAGTCGTTCACCCCCTAGTTTGCCACCTTTACAGGTGGAACATTTTGTTCAAATTTCAATGGGACCAACACCGAAATACCTTCTTTCCAACACAAAAGAATCATCAAAATCGGTTCCCAAATGCCGGAATAATCACGTAACACACACAAAAAAGAACCACAGTCGAATTGAGAACCTCCTCCTTTTTTTGAAGGTTAACAAACATTTAAATAAGAACCTTATATGTTACAGATACAGTCTAAGGCTTTAGAATCACCAACCTCTACCCTCTATTCAGAAATTAAGCCGCAAAGAACTTGGTATTTAATTGTAGAGACCTGCAAAGCTTGCGTTGGCTTAAGAAAGCTCAAGTGCTGTGATAGCTACGAGGAAGTATACAGGTATGTTTTTTAGTTTAAACTGATTGAGTGTTTTTATGTTTAAAGGATAGCGGTGGTAAGTGGAAGAGCGGTTGCGTCTCAAATGAGAGACGGACTTTAAGAGTAGATCCTACCTCAGCCCGAATTAATTTTTTTCCCGTAGTATTACGTTTAATTTTACGGTATCATATAACTGTCTCCGAGGCCGAACTGTTACTATTCTGCCACGCGGAGGTCCCAGGTTCGATGCCCGGGCCGGGCGCTATGTTGAGTATGTGCGCGTTATTATTTTGGCTGGGTCGAGCGGCAGAAACTCTGGATTTATTTCAGAATTTATTCTTTTTACAAACGAAATTAAAGCTTGTTATAGTTATTAACACAAAGATCTAATAAGAACTTAGTTGGTATAGCATCTGGCACGGTATGTCAGAAGACGCCGGTTCGAATTCGACCGGATCGACAGAATTTTTTCCGAGTATTCGATCTTTGTATTATTATAAAAATAATTGAATATGATTTCAATAATAATTTGAATTGAATTTTTCAAATAGCTTTCTATTTGAAAAATTCTGTCAAGTTATCGAGTTGTAGAAAATCTCCCGTGTTTTTGTTAAAGATCTTTGTACCCTTTACAGACGCTTCAACTGATGTAGATGTCGCTTTTTAATCAAACGCGTTATTGACTCAGGAGAATTCCGACTAATCGATAACTTGACCCCTAGCTCAGTTGGTTAGGGCATTACTTCGCTGCAGTATGGTTGTGGGTTCAAGTCCCATCAGGTCGAAAAAGTTTTATTTTTATTATTATATCAAGCGCCTGATGGTAAGCTAGTCGCCTGTCCATAATAGTTGCAGTGCCACTCAAAGCATCAAATCGCAAAGATCTGAGATTGCCACTACGCCCGTCACCCTGAGACATAAGTTGTCAAGTCCCATAGCCTGTAATTCCGTCAAAACCCGTACACTTCAAAACCGGAACACAGTAATGCTCTCATTACTGCTTAGCGGAGGCTACTTTCACAAAACGCTCTACTGCTGCTGAAAAGTTTTTCTGTGTGTCCGATCTTTATATTAGTAAAATAATAATGTGTTTATTTTTAAAATTTTCAGACAATTCCAAGTAGCAAACTACAATTGTCTATGTGCTGCCATATGCAAAAAGAAACCCATGGAGAATATATACAGCCAGATCTTCGATCATGACACGTGGGCCCGTCTTGTTGATAAAAATCGTCAATATGATATTCCGTTACTTAACAAATGGCATCAACGGACAAAACGCACTCCGATCTCAGTGGAAGTTGAAACAGACGAACATACGAACATACACACAGGCACTGTGCGAACACGGATGTTCTTGCGAACGTTGTCCGAGAATCCATTACAGTATGATTTGATCGCCGACAATGTGGAAGAAACTGTAAGTGTTGAATGAGTTAGTAAACGCACATTGTGTATTAAGGACAGCAAATTAACGAGTGTCTATCAGAAGCCCGAAGCCAAAGGCTGAGGGCCTTAGTAACTCGAGTTTAATTTTTTACCGTCCGTGATACATACGATGTGTTCCATCACATCTGTGAGGAAATAAATAAAAAAATATGAATATGGTTCACAACACAACAATTATGGATTTGGCAAATGGTGCGTTTTTTATTCTTCCATAGATAATACAACTCGCTATAAAATGCTAAATATTTATATTCTAAGAAAATTCAAAAAAAGATTAAAAAAAAAAGAAAATTCTGTTTAGATAACATATAATATTTAGATAACGCAAATGTTTTAATTTTGAACTTAATTGTATGGAAAAATAACCGGATCCTTTGATTCGGGTGCATTCGGAAATCCGAAGATTGCCGAGAGATATTAAGAAAACAATTGCACTGTATGGCTGCGCCATTGAGATCTTTTCTGTTTCCTCTATATTTATTTATCATATTTATTACCTAATAACATAATCCAAATAAAAAATAATCCAAAAAACTTTCAATATTAATAAAACCCGCTTAAAATCATATTCGCATTTCAAAAGTGTACAAAACTTATTGACTTACAATTATATGGACGTCGGGTCCGCGCTAAAAAGTGTCCGCACTTGTAAGGCGCTAAAATCGTATACAGAGCGCCAAACTCCGCTTTAGTCTTCATTTGTTCTACTGACAGCGCGATACTGCGATGACATTACAATTTAAATTTCGAATAGGTTGACTTGGGACATTTTTTTCGTGGTTTTTGTATTAGACCCGTCGTCCATTTATTTGTAAGTCAATGACAAAACTATATATTTTTTTATAATACCAAGTAAGGAGACGAAAAAGTCGTGCGCCTGGTGGTAAACGACACGCCTGTCCATGTTGCAGTGCCACTCGGAGCTTTAAATCGTAAAGGTCTTAGGGGAACTGCCACTGCGCCCGTCACCCTGAGACATAAGTTGACAAGTCCCATGTGCCTTAATTTCATCAACATCCTTGCCCTGCCAAACCGGAACGCAATACTGTTCACATCACTGTTTGGCGGCAGAAATTGGTAAGGTGGTAGTACTTCCCTGGACGAACTCTTTCACAAGGAGCGCTACTAAAATAACAAACTCAATGCTGAAAGTGCAAGGTGCCTTCGCGAGGTACGTCTTGGCCCCTCCACTGTGTTATTACATATATTTGTAATTACAGGTAATTACTCAAGATCTCACGTTGCGCGAAAACGAGTTAAATAACCACGAATGCGCACCAACTTTAACTGCAGTACTATGTCATATGAGCACTTTAGGGTTTAGCCAATGGAAGGACTTGTTGGCCGCTGCGTTGAGTGGAGATTTGCACAAAAATGCCAAATGGTTGTTGGCCCAAGTAAGTATTGTTATCTCAAACATGCTCGGAAGTGTTCGGTTTT